AATTTACCAGTGAAGCCATCTGTTCTTGGACTTTTCTTTGTTGGAAGGATTATGATTACTTATTCCGTCTCTTTACTAGTAATCGGTCTGTTCAGATTTTCTAATTCTTCATGATTCAGTCTTAGTAAAAGTTGTATGTTTTTAGGGATTTATCCATTTGTAGGTTATTTAAGTTGTTGGTATATAATTGTTCATAGTAGTTTGTTACGATCCTTACTATTTCTGTGTTTTCTCTTTCATTTCCGATTTTATTTGTCTCTTTTTTTCTTAGTCTAGCCACAGGTTTGTCTATTTTATCTTTTAAAAAAGACAGCTCTTAGGTTTTTTTTTTTTTTAATCTTTTCTATTGTTCTTCTAGTCTCTATTTCATTTATTTCTGCACTGATCTTTATTTCATTCCTTTTGCTAACTTTGGGCATAGTTTCTTTTTCTAGTATGTTGAGATGTATAGTTAGGCTGTTTGAGATCTTTCATTTTTTCTAATGTAAGTGTTTACTGCTATAAACTTCCCTCTTAAAACTGCTTTTGCTGCATCTCATAAGTTTTGGTATATTTTGTTTCCATTTTCCTTTGCCTGGATGTTTTTTGATTTCCCATTTTGATTTCTTCTTTGACTCATTGGTTGTTTGTAAGCATGCTGTTTAATCTCCATGTATTTGTGTGTTTTCCAGTTTTCCTCTTGTAATTGATTTTTAATTTCATAACACCATGGTTGAAAAAGATGCTTGATATGATATCAGTTTTTTTCAATTTATTAAGATTTGTTTTGTGGCATATAACATATGATCCATCCTGGAGAATGTTCTATGTACACTTGAGAAAAATGCATATTCTGCTGTTGCTGAATGAAATGTTCTGTATATGTCTGTTAGGTCCATCTGGTCTAACATATAATTTAAGTCCAATGTTTCCATAGTGATTTTCTGTCAGTGTGATCTATCCATTGTTTAAAGTGGGTTATTTAGGTTTCCTACTATTATTGTATTGCTGTCTAGATCTCCCCTCAGAATGTTAGTATTAGCTTTATGTATTTAGGTGATTCAAAATTGGGTGCATAATTTTTTTTATTAGATGAACTCATTTGATAAATTAGGCAAAGAAAAATATATGCAACTGAGTAAAAAGTAGCACATTCTCATACTACTTGAACACACAGCAGTGGTCAAAAATAATGAATTGTGGAATGGATCCCAAGATTTAAAGCAAAAAACATCCTCTACAGATAACTTCAGGCTTCTAACTTCACTGAATCCAGTACTAAACATGCTTCCTTATATTCCTCAGCTTCTTGCAAGTCTTTTCCACTCTCTACTAACTGCAAAAGATCAGTACATGTGGCTTCCAACCTGTGCTGGCAATCTGGGATCATTATCCAGGACTCTTGTAGGATCTCTGCTTGCTTTTTAATTGGATAATTTTCACCATCTTCAGCTTTCATTTTTTTAAATCTTTTCTTCTTACTGTTTTGCTTCTTTTTCATGCATAATTTTTTCTGTGACCAATCGCTTCACCATGCCGGTTTTGATCTTGATCTACCTCATTGGAGGCTTGACCATGATCCATTGAGCACCACAGGAAGGAGGGGTGGAGAGCCATGGGAACCATGGAGGAAGACCGGTGTATAAATATTTATAATTGTTATACCCTCTTGATGAATTGACCCTTTTATCATGATATAATGACTTTTTTTTTTATCTCGTTACAGTTTTTGGCTTAATGTCTATTTTGTCTAATGTAAGGCTAGCTACTCCTGCTGTCTTTTGGCTTCCATTTGCATGGAATATCTTTTTTCCATCTCTTCACTTTCAGTCTCTGTGTGTCCTTAAAGTTGAAATGAGCCGCTCATAGGCAGCAGGTTGGGTCTTGGTTTTTTTTCCTCCATTCAGCCACTGTATGGCTTTTCACTGGAGAATGTAGTCTGTGTACATTTAAAATAATTAATAGGCGTGGACTTATTGCCATTTTGCTGTTTTCTAGCTCTTTTGTAGTTCCTATATTCCTTTCTTCCTCTCTTGCTTTCTTTGTGATTTAATAATTCTCTGTAGTGTTATGCTTTGATTCCTTTCTCTTAACCCTTTTTTGCTTATTTACTGTAGGTTTATGCTTTGTGGTTACCATGAGGCTTACATAGGGCATCTTGTAGTTTTAACAGTCTGTTTTAAGCTGATAACTTCAAATGTATACAAAACCTCTACATTTTTATACTCCTGCTCCCACAGTTTGTGTTTGATATCACAATTTACATCTTTTTTTTTTTTAAGATTTATTTATTTATTTTAGAGAGCATGAGTGGGAGGGGCAGAGGGAGAGAGAGAGAATCTGAAGCAGACTCTGTGCTAATGTGGAGCCCAACGTGGGACTTGATCTCACAACCCTGAGATCACGACCTGAGCCAAAACCAAGAGTCAGATGCTCAACTGACTGCAGCACCCAGGTGCCCCACAATTTACATCTTTTATAGTGTGTATCCATTAACAAATTATTATTATAGTTATTTTTAATACTTTTGTCTTTTAACCTTTATGCTAGAGTTATAAGAGATTCACCTACCACCATCACCATATTATTCTCAATTAAACTATTTATATATACACCTTTACCAGTGAGTTTTATAGTTTCATGTTTTTATGTTACTAGTATCCTTCACTTCAACTTGAAGCCCTTTTTTTTTTTTTTAAGATTTATTAATTTATTAGAGAGAGTGCACGAGTGGGGAGTAGGGCAGAAAGAGAGGAGGCAGGGAAGCAGACTCCTGATGAGCAGGGAGCCCATTGTAGGGCTGGATCTCAGGACTCTGAGATCATTACCTGAGGCAAAACCAAGAGTTGGACACCAAGAGTCGGCAAAACCAAGAGTCGGACACCCAACTGACTGAGCCGCCCAGGTGCCCCTTGAATTAGTCCTTTTCAGGGTTGGGTATGACATAAGGCTGGTCTAGTGTTAATGAATTCATTTAGCTTTGGTTTGTCTGGAAAATCCTTTTATCTCTCCTTCAATTGTGAAGGACATCTTTGCTGGGTAGAGTATTCTTGTTTGGCAGGTTTTTTCTTCTAGCATTTTGAATATATCATCCCACTCCCTCTGGCCTGCAAGGTTTCTACTGAAAAACTTGTTGATTGTCCTATGGGAGTGCCCTTATATGTAACAAGTTGCTTTTCTCTTGCTGCTTTTATGATGCTCTCCTTGTCTTTAACTTTTGACAGTTTAATTGTCTTGGTGTGTGCCTCTTTAGATTCATTTTGTTTGGTATTCTTTGGGCTTCCTCGATGTGGATGTCTGTTTCTTTCCCCAAGTGAGGGAAGTTTTCAGCCAGTATTTCTTTGAGTAAGCTTTCTGCCCCTTCCTTTCCTCTGCAACCCCTATAATGCATATATTTGTACTCTTGATGGTGTCCCATCAGTCCCTTATGCTATCTTCATTCTTTTTTCTTTTTCCCCTAATTGGATGAATTCTCTGCTCTGTCTTTAAGTTGGCTGATCCTTTCTTCTGCCTGATATAGTCTGCTGTTGAACCCCTTTACTGAATGTTTCAGTTCAGTTACTGTATTCTTCAGCTATATAATTTATGTTTGGGGTTGTTTTTTTATATATATATATATTTTGTATGTCTTTGGTGAAATTCTTTGTTCATGCATTGCTCTCCTTACCTCAGTGAGCATCCTTATGATCACAGTTTTGAACTGTCGATTGGGTAAATCATTTATTTCATTAAGATTGGTTTCTGGAGATTCATCTTGTTCCTTTGTTTAGAAGATATTCCCATTTCTCTATTTTTCTTGACTCTTCCTGTTGGTTTCTGCACATTAGATAAAGCAGCCACCTCTCCTAGTCGTTACAGAATGGTCTCATGTGGGAGATAAACCTTGTCAGTCAGCCTCGCCCAGGTTCTTGGTTGTCTCTCAAACCTTTGTGATCATCCAATCTGCTTTCCTTGTTCTTAGCTCCCAGTAGTTGAGCTGTACCAACACCTGCCAGTGTTCCAAAGGGGAGAATTTCAGTCAGCACCTAGATGCAAGCCGATTAAAAACTGTACCCTCAGGCAGCAGCTGGGAATGTAGGTAACTAAGCCCCTTCCAGGGAGAAACTATGAGATGTGTTTTGCCTGCTTCCTCTGCACTGAGCCCAGGTATATAGCCACAAGGGGAGAGGAGTGCTCCTACATCCATTTAAAAGTTACTTCTTTGTTATAGTCCTGTAGGACCTGTGAATGTAAGCTCCATTGGCTTTCAGAGCCAGGCAAACCAGGGTCCCATCCCTAAAGTGGTAATCATAAATGTTGGGTGACCAGATTGTGTCCAAGCTCCTTCCAGAGAGATGCTTGTGGTTTGGTTTTATCACTGGAATGAGCTAGAGGGAGAAGGCAGGGGAAGGGTCCATTGGGCACTTCCTTTGGGAAGCACCACAGCCAACCCCTAAAGGTGTACTAAATAAGAAGCTGGACCCTCAGGCATTAGCTTATAAAGTATACAGTCAAACCACTTTCAGAGAGACTGGGAGATGGGCATGTTTGTCTGCTCCCTCAGGGATGAGCCCTAGGGGGATAGCCATAGGGAGTGCGCACACATCCATTAAGAACCATTTCTTTGTTTCCTATCGTTTTATGTATCTCATGGACACAAGCCCCAGTGGCTTTCAGAGCCGTTCATTTTAGGGGCCCATCCTCTGGGTGGTTGTTTTAAAAGAGGAGGTGCTAGATGTGCAGTCCAAACCCTTCATTCCTCAGAGAGAAGCTCCGAATTGGGAATTCCCTCCCTATTGTATGGTGCTGTGCTAAGGATGGGGTTTCTGTCAAGAGTGTGTTTCAGCCTTTCCTACCCACTTTGATGTGGGTATTTCCCTGATAGGGAAGAGTCACTCAGCTAGTTTCTAGATTTCTTTCAGAGGGAGATGCTCCATTTGTAGTTACACATTGAATGCATCCAAGAGAGGAGGGAAGTCCAGGACCTCCTATGTCACCATCTTGGTCCCTCCTCAGCATTTTTACTTTTTAATTTTTCCCAGAAAGAACTAGAGAAGCAGAAGAGAATTAAGAGGAACCAGCAGCTGGAAGCAGTAGCCAAAGAACATTATGAAAGGGTGTTGCTAAGAAAAAAAGGCCTGGAGCCTTGGAAGAGATTGAGAATGCAAAGCAAGCAAAACATCCAGGTATAGTGTCACATACTTCCTCCCAAAATTACAAAATGGACTTTTCTTTTTTTTTTTTTAAGATTTTATTGATTTATTTGACAGAGAGACAGCAAGAAAGGGAAACACAAGCAGGGGGAGTGTGAGAGGGAGAAGCAGGTTCCCCGCCGAGCAGGGAGCCCGATGTGAGGTTCAATCCCAGGACCCTGGGATCATGACCTGAGCCGAAGGCAGATGCTTAACGACTGAGCCACTCAGGCGCCCCAAAATGGACTTTTCAAATGAAATAAACATCCAATTAGGATTTGAGAGTTGTTTGGTGATTTAAAAGCCAAAAATATAAGCTAATTGAGTGTGTATGTATTTCTTTGTTTTGGATAACAGTTCAGATTTGGTCTTCCAAGACAGAGAAAGATTTCTATAACTGGATAGGTTGGGAACAAAATGAGTAGATTTTTTATTAAAGACTTTCAAAGTAAGATGAATAGAGGCGTCTCTCAATTTTAGCCATGTTTCTCATAAAAAGGAAATAATTACCATAAAGTATTAGGTTTCTGTTTCAATAAAGCAGCATAACAAACAGCCCTCAAAAATCAGCAGCTTACAATTTAGGCATTTATTTCTTACACATCTATGGGCCAGCTGTGGATTACATTCAGGTCTCTCCACAGCCTCTTTCTGACTTCAGCAGTAATTCGGGCCATGCTTTTCACCTGGCAAATGCCTACAGTGCAACAACTAAACCTAATGATGTAAACCCATACGATACCTCTGCCTGTATCAGGTCCATTGACATTTCATTGGCCAAAGCAAATCATAGATCCAAACTCAGGGTCATTAAGGGGAGGAAAAGGTTCCATCTACTTCATTGGGAGGCATTATGAAATCACATACAAAGAGTAGGGATATATAATCCTATTATAGGGAACAATAACCTACTCTGCCACACGGAGATATATAAAATCAAATAACATGAAACTTCAAACTTACCCAGTACATAGGGCAGGGCATTCTAAACTAAATGATCAGCAGCTCAAAATAGATGAAATGTTATTTTTAGAATTCTGTATAAAAATAAGCACAGTAATCTATTCTAGGTATGACAACTCTTACTTACACATTCGGCCAGGTTAATATTGAAAAGTAAAACTAGCATTTTGGGTTATGAAAACCAAATAGCGTAAGAGTCCCACTAAATTGAGTAATGCTGCAGATTATACCTCTGGAAACATGACGTAGGCTCCCTGCCTATTCGTTCTTCATTCTTTGTTCTCTTCCTGTTTTTCATACTTTCTTTTTACCTTCCCAAAATGCCCTTCCCATTGTTTTTTCTCTGTCCCTCATTTTTTTGTCCTCAGCCTCCTTACCAATGGTTCTGGAATTACTGAGTATTCCAAACCAGCTGAGGAAGCCCATTTGTGGTGATCAGGCCTGAGGGCAAGAGGATCCATCTGTGCCCCAGGCCATTGCTATTTTGCTGTGGCTTTTTCCTTGTAATGAGAGGGGAGGGCTGACTCTCTAGTCTTCTGAGTGAATGAATCTGGAAATAAAATTTGAAATTTGAATTGAAATTTTCCTTACAGTACACTACTACAAAGATCATTTGCTATTCAACTGAATGCTTCTAGTTTTGTATTATCTGGCTTTTGTATATTTGGGGGGTGGTCATTTATTAATATACAAAGGAAGAGCAGACAGGGAATGGAAAGATTCATTCTTATATTCCTATCAGCTCTTCTTTTTTGGTCCTAGTATTTGACTGAATAAAATTTTAAAAAGGTATAAAATTCTGAAACAAAATTGTATCTATGGGGGAATAACCAAATTAAAATTTTACAATTTCTTTATTAGAATATAAAAATAGAAACAAGAGTTTGAGCTCAAAATGACAACTATAGGCTTTAAGTACAGAAAAACCCAATTAAAATAAAAACAGGAAAACAGATCTGAAACCAGCATTTCCAAGTTTTTCTGTTCATAAAACCTGTTTTCTGTTCATCTGGAGAACTTATAAAAATGCACATTCCTAGTCCCGCCTCCAGGTATTCTCAGTAGGTCTGAGTTGTTGGCTGGTGTGTGTCAGGGAATCTGCATTTTTAATATGTAGCCCGGGGTGGGGGTTGGGGGGCACCTGGGTGGCTCAGTCGTTGAGCGTCTGCCTTCAGCTCAGGTCATGATCCCAGGGTCCTGGGATCAAGCCCCACGTCGGGCTCCCTGCTCCGCTGGAAGACTGCTTCTCCCTCTCCCACTTACCCTGCTTGTGTTCCCTCTCTCACTATATCTCTCTCTGTCAAATTAATTAATTAATTAATTAATTAAAAAAAAGTAGCCCAGGGGATTCTGAGTGGTCTGAGCACCACATTTTGGGAATCACCTCTCTAGCTCATAACAAGTGTATTAGCTTCCTATTGCTGTTACAACAAATTACTACAACCTTAGTGGCTTAAAATAACACATTTATTAACTTAAAACTGGACTTGCTGGGCCAAGGTCAGAGTGTCAGCAGGGCATGTTCTTTCTTATGGTTCCAAGGGGGAGTGGAGTCTGTTTCCGTGCCTTTTTCACCTTCCAGTGGCCACCTGCATCCTGTTGCTCTCAGCTCCCTCCTCGAATCACTCTGCTCTCTGCTTTCAGGTCACACGTACTGATGCTGACCCTCCCGCCTCCCTCTGACAAGGATTCTTGTGATTACATTTAGGGCTCTTGCATATCATGCAGGATAATCTCCCCATTTTACGATCCTTCACTTAATCATATTTGCAAAATCCCTTTTACCACCTACGGTAGCATATTTACAGGTTCCAGGGATCAGGACGTGGCCATCCCTTGGGGCCACTATTCAGTCTTTCACAACAAGATAATAGAATTCTAGAACATTAGCAGTCCTCTCCACCTCTTTCCATTTGTAATAAGGGCGCTGAGCCTTAGAGAGGAGAATTGACTTGCTTAAAGTCACATAGCACATTGGTTACAAAGCTAAAGTGTAGCGAGCACCGGTGAACATAGCCCAGGAACGTGGCCCGGTTCTGGCACACCGTTAAACTGTGTAAGGATCAGAGGGTTTATGTAGATGGCAACCACCAGTTGAAAGTTAAAAAATAAAAAGAAGTAAAAGGAAAAGTTCTGGAGGACAGTAAAAGGAATGGGTAGCTTCTTTACCCATCTGAGTTGGCTTCCAGGAAGGGATAGAAAAAAATTAAGAAGAAAGGTCCAGTTAAACAGTCCCTGCCTTGTTTGTAACATTTTTTTGGAAGAGTTACTTAGCATTTTCCCTTAAACTCATGTGTACTGTAGGATATTTAATCCAAAAACCATTTTCAGAGCTTCCATGAGACCTTCTGATAATCTTTTTCTTCCTGGTTCTCTGTTTTCCCAGAGGACGAAGAACAAGGAGCATAGGAGACTCCCCTTGCCTTTTGGCTCCCAGGCTGGGATGAGTCAGGCCAGACAGCGGTCTCAGGTGCCACAGTGAGCTCCTGGATGGTCATTTTGGCCAACAAATTGGACTGTTAAGAGATTCACTTGGATCATTCCCATTCACGGTGCTGGCTGGCTAGGCAAGGCTTAGAAAAATGTGTGATTGTCTGGACAGGATTGAGAGAGAAGGGTTTTTCCCTCCTGCCTCTTAAAAGAATATAACAGTTACCTTTTAAAACTCATAAACTCTGAGTTACATGTTTATTTTGATAGAATGATGCTCTCTCTGACCCTTTTAAGTTGGTAAGACATTTAATTATTCATCATGTTGTTTTCCTATCAAATGGTTTTGTGGTTTATTGATAATGTCTAAATGTCAATGCTGGTGACAGCTCATACTATAAAACTAATTGAAAGTATTGGCATTTCCCCAATTAGACGGTGGTTAAGTACATAATAGAGAGGTTTATTATGGAGTTGCTGTCCAAGCTCCAGGAGAACAAACTGAGAATATCATCAGCCATGCACTTCAAAACTTGACACAAGTGAAATAATGGCTTTGGAGGTTTATTCCATTTTCCTAATAACCAGCCAGTCGCTGTGGTCTTCGGGGAGTCAGTGCTGAAAGGCTATGCATGATGTGAATCTAAAACCCCTATAAGATAAGGTCAGTAGTCAGAGCTCTTAAGACATAGTCTGAATGCCCTTAAGATTTTTCCCTCTGCAACTGCCTACGTGTAGTTTATAGCATCATTTGCCAAGGTGATGTGTATTTCCTTAAATGATTAAACATATAAGGAATAATTTCCTTTTCTCATTTAAAAAATTTTCCAGGTGGCCGAAGAACATCACTCTTTGGCTCTACAGAGAAAATGCCTGCTGTCCTGGTTCCAGTATAGTCAGGAAATCCTGGCTAGGAACACAGCCCGGGCCGATCAACTCTATTGCCAAATATTGCTTAGGAGAGTTATCCGGACCTGGCAACAGGTAAGGCCACAGAGAAAGAAACTTTAAATACATGTCTCTGCTCAATCCTATGTAAGAAAATTAGATGCAATACAGATGTCCATAACCATTGTTTTTTCAAGAACAATATAGAATGGTCAATCCAGTTCCTTGCTTTGAAATGAATATGAAAATGTCACATCAATTCTTAGTATAAAACATTTTTCACAGTGTCCATAAACTGTTTATAAACTGTAATGTATCATTACATTAGCTTTTGTTTTTATACTCATTTCTTGTTTCTTGTCCCATAATTGCTCAATTAATTTTGTTAGAAACCTACCCCCTCAGGCTTAGAACTGTTTCCACACCTCTGGCTCCATTGTTTTTTTTAATACATTGCAGAGGATATTATCTTGGCTGCCATGTTATCTTTTTCTCTTTACGCCCCCAGTGTCCTTTGTTCTTTTGTATTTGTTGCAGTTCTCTTTTGTACTGTTTATTTGCTCTAATTCTTTGTCTACGACATTGTTTGTCTCACTTCTGTTCCTGCCCTCATCCCCAGTACCTGACTGATCTGGAGGAAGAAGTACAAAAACTGCGGGTGCATCTTCTTCAGAAGAAGATATTCAGGGCCTGGTTTAACATGGTCAGGGAGGCCAAGACCGATTCCCAGAGCAAGCGTGAGATTGCAGGGCAACATCATGACAGGTGAGTTTCCGATATCTGAGGAAACTCACTCAGACTTCACAACCCTTCCGCAGCATATTCTGTGCCCGGAATATGGCTGAAAGATGAGGTGGGGGCTGGGAGATCTGGGTAGTCAAACATATACCAGACAGCGGGGAAAGTCCCAGCTCACGCACTGACTATGTGGAAACCCCTGGAACTCCAGGGTCCCCATCTTAAAAGGGGGAGGAGGATGCCTGCCCTTCTTGCCTCACAGGGCCTGTCCAGAGGATAAAATGATGAGAAATAACATGAATCACACCTGAGCAAAGTGTACTGTCTACTTTGTTAGTCGTACAGGTTTATCTTTGAAGTTCAGTTGTTGTTAACATTTATTGTGAAATATAACACAAATACAGAAAAGTACTTAAATCATACAGATACGGCCTAATGAATTACTGTCAAGTGGACACCCATGTCAGCACCACTGAGGTCAAGAAATAGGACACTGCTGGCCCCTAGAAATCCCCAAGGGCTCCTTCCCAATTACAAGCCCTGCCCTTCCCTCCTAAAGGTAAATTGTTCTCCTGACTTTTATAACGAGCATGTCCTTGGGTTGCTTCTCACTTTGACCTAAGGATGCAGCCTTCAAGGCTCTAATTTCGTGTTGCCTGGTTTGGAACTGTATATAAGTGGAATCATGGTGTATGTCATACTAATATTTATAATACAGTGATGTCTTATTTAATCCAGTGTCCTTGGGGAATAAGCTATTCTATATATGTTTTTTTTCTTGGATTTCTAATTTTAAATATTTTGGATAGACATGTTCTAAATTTCATTACATACTTCCCCTTGCGAGTAAACAAACAATCTGTGTTTCGATGATCAGTAGTCATTGCTTATGAGCATGACGTGGTGGGCATATGCCTCCAAGCTCTGAGGCGGGAAGACTGTAGTTTAGGTGGAGAAGGGACCCCATCCTCACTACACCCAGATTAATTTTTGGTTGCTGTGTTTTCATTTGTGTGTATGTGCCTGTGCTAATGTCTGGTGTTTATGAAAGTGTTCCTCTCTTGCCGCTAAGGTGTCGCCGCCACCAGCAAACCCTGCTCACCCTTGCTTGCTTTACAGGTTACTGAAATCTGCGGGCTGGGAAAACGATAGGCAAGTTGATTCTAATTTGATCTAGAAGAAAATAAGCAATGAGTGAGGGTACTCAGAGGACTTGCCTTTGAATAAATGCTTTACTTTAAAGGTTGAAGTTTGAGACTCAGGGTCTGTGTGTGACCCTGCACAGATAACCTTTCAGAGCCTCCCCATTCCTCTTTTGGAAAATAAGGATAACAACAGAACCAATCTTAGGGCGTTGTTGAGAAGACTAAACAGGGTAACACAATACCTCACTCGACACATGCTTAGCCCCAAATAAGAGCTACGTTTTGTTTACTGTCATTGTTTAAGTGTTGTTAAACATCCTGCCTGCCCACCTCTACTTTCTTTCTGTTTCTCAGCTGCCGTGTACAGACTGAGAGACGCCCTGGGGCGGCTGCCCGATGTGGCACAGGACAGCTAGACAGGGCTTTCGTACACGCCAGAGAGGAGGGGGCCGAGTGAGGAATTCCATTTTCAGGCAAGCACACTGAAGCTACAAGCAGGTCGATTGCCCAAGGTACACAAATAACAAATGGTGGTGCCTGGGCAATAAACATAGAGGTGCTTATATTTTTTCAAATTCGTGTTTCTATATTCTTTGAGTAAATACCCAGTGGAATTACTGGATCATAGGGTAGTTCCATTTTTAATTTTCTGAGGAACCTCCATCGTTTTCCACAGCAGTTGTATCAGTTTGCATTCCCACCAACAGTACACAAGGGTTCCTTTTTCTCCACATCCTTGCCAACACTTGTTATTTCTTAGGGTTTTGATTTGCATTTCCCTGATGATGAGTGATGTTGAGCATCTTATCATGCCCTGGCTGGCCATCTGTATGTCTTCTCTGGAGAAATATGTCTTCATGTCTTCTGCCCATTTTTTAATTGGATTTTTTTTTGTGTTGAGTTGTGTAAGTTCTTTATATATTTTGGATACTAACCCCTCATTGGATATATCATTTGCAAATAGCTTCTCCATTTTGTAGGCTGTCTTTTTGTTCTGTTGATTGTTTCCTTTGCAGAAGCTTTTTATTTTGATACAGTCCCAATAGTTTATTTTTGCTTTTGTTTCCCTTGCCTTAGGAGACCTATCTAGAAAAATGTTGCTATGGCTGATGTCCAAGAAATTACAGCCTATACTCTCTTTTAGGATTTTCATGGTTTTAATTCTCACATTTATGTCTTTAAATATGTTAAGTTTTTCTGTATGGTGTAGTAAGAAAGTTGTCCAGTTTCTTTCTTTTGCATATAGCTGTCCGGTTTACCCAACACATTTGTTGAACAGACTGTCCTTTTCCCATTGCATATTCTTACCTCCTTTGTTGAAAATTAATTGCCCATATAATCATGGGTTTATTTCTGAGCTCTCTATTCTAGTCCATTGATCAGCATGTCTTTTTTTGTGCCCTTGCCATTCTGTTTTGATTACCACAGCTTTGTAGTATATCTTGAAATCTGGGACTGTGATACCTCCAGTTTTGTTCTTCTTCAAGACTGCTTTCACTATTTGGAGTTTTTTGTGGTTCCATACCAATCTTAGGATTATTTGTTCTAGTTGTGTGAAAAATGCTATTGGTATTCTGATAGGGATTGCATTAAATGTGTAGATTAACTGAGTTGTATGGACATTTTAACAATATCTGTTCTCCCAATCTATGAGCTTGGGATATCTTTCCATTTGTTTGCATCATCTTCCATTTCTTTCATCAGTGTTTTATAATTTTCAGAGCACAAGTCTTTCACCTCCTTAAAGTTATTCCTAGGTATTTTATTATTTTTGGTGCACTTGTAAATGGAACTGTTTTCTTAATTTCTCTTTCTGTTAATTCATTACTGGTGTATAGAAATGCAGTGGACTTCTGTATATTGAATTTGTATCCTGCGACCTTATGAATTCATTTATTACTTCTACTAATTTTTTGGTGGAGTCTTTAGGGCTTTCTATAGTATGCCATCTGCAAATAGTGAAAGTTTTACCTTCTGCCTTACCAATTTGGATGATTTTTATTTCTTTTTCTTGTCTGATTGCTGTGGCTAGGACTTCCAGTATTATGTTGAATAAAAATGGTGAGAGTGGGGCATCCTTGTCTTGTTCCTGATAAGAGGGGAAGCTCTCCATCTTTTGCCACTGAGTATGATGTTAGCTGTGGGTTTTTCATGTATGGCCTTTTGTTCTTTCTTTCTCTTTCCTTCGTATCTGGCCTTTATTATGTTGAGGTATGTTCCCTCTAAACCTACTTTGTGGAGAGTTTTTATCATGAATGGATGTTGTACATTGTCAAATGCTTTTTATGCATCTACTGAAATGATCATTTCTCTTGTTGATGTATCACATTGATTGATTTGTGAATATTGAACCACTCTTGCATCCCAGGAATAAATCCCACTTGATTGTGGTGAATGATTTTTTTAATGTATTGTTGGATTAGGTTTACTAGTATTTTGCTGAGGATTTTTGTGTCTGTGTTCATTAGAGATATTGGCCTGTAGGTCTCTTTTTTGTAGTGTCTTTTTTTTTTTAAGTTGGCTCCATGCCCAGCTTGAAGGCCAGTGTGGGGATTGAACTCACAACCCTGAGATCAAGAGTCAGATGCTTAACCAACTGAGCCCCCAGGCACCCCTTTCTTGCAGTGTGTTTATCTGGTTTTGGTATTGGGGTAATGCTGGCCTCATATAGAATGAATTTGGAAGCTTTCCTTCCTCTACTACTTTTTTTTTTAAATTTATTTGTCAGGGAGAGAGCACAGCAGGGGGAGTGGCAGACAGGGAGAAGCAGGCTCCCTGTTGAGCAAAAGCCTGATGCAGGACTTGATCCCAGGACCCCAGGATCATGACTCGAGCTGAAGGCAGGTGCTTAACCAACTGAGCCACCCAGGCGTCCCCTCCTACTACTTTTTGGAATAGATTGAGAAGAATAGGTCTTAACTCCTCTTTAAATGTCTGGTCAGGGCTCCTGGGTGGCTCAGATGGTTGGGCGTCTGCCTTTGGCTCGGGTCATGATCCCAGGGTCCTGGGGTTGAGGCCCACGTCAGGCTCCCTGTTCGGCGGGGAGCCTGCTTCTCCCCCTGCTCATGCTCTCTCTCTCTCTCGTATCTCTGTGTCTCGAACGAATAAGTAAAAAAAAAATTTAAATGTTTGGTCAAACTCACTTGTGAAGCCATCTGGTCCTGGACTTTCGTTTGTTGGGAGTTTTGTGGTTACTGATCCAATTTGATTGTTGGTAACTGGTCTGTTCAAATTTTCTATTTCTTCCTGGTTCAGTTTTGGGAGCTTATATGTTTCTAGGAATTTATCCATTTCTTCTAGGTTGTCCAATTTGTTGGCATAGAGCTTTTCATAATATTCTCTTACAATCCTTTGTATTTCTGTGGTGTTGGTTATTATTTCTCCTCTTTCATTTTTTTTTAAATTTGTTTTTTTATTCATTTGAGAGAGAGAGCGCATGCGCAGGGGGGAGGGGCAGGGGGAAAAGTAGACTCCCCACTGAGCAGGGAGCCTGATGCGGGGCTTGATCCCAGGACCCTGGGATCATGACATGAGCTGAAGGCAGACGCTTAACTGAGCCACCCAGGCACCCCCCCTTTCATTTCTGAGTCCTCTTTTTTTGTTGATGAGTCTGGCTAAAGGTTTAGCAATTTTGTTGATCTTTTCAAAGAACCAGCTCCTGGTTTCATTGATCTGTTCTATTGTGGTCTTTTTTGTTTCATTTTTGTTTTTAGCTTCAATTTTGTTTATTTCTGTTCTAGTCTTATTTCCTTCCTTCTACTGGTTTTGGGTTTGTTTTTTCTTTTTCTAGCTCCTTTAGGTATAAGGTTAGTTTTGAGGTTTTTTTTCTTGAGGTAGGCCTGTGTTGCCATAAACGAACTCTTGGAACAGCTCTGCCCATAA